CAGTGATGCTCTCAGGGCGGACTACATCAGAAAGAGATGAGGTGAGGTGAAATGAGGGTTAACGTCGCTTCCAAGATTATTGCACTTATATAGCGACGTGCATGCACGTGTGTGTAGGACTGCTTGTTCTGGTCGTACTAATGCCGATTTTACAGTGCAAGCACACTGAGATACCAGCCGCAATTTAACGTGAATACCCCACTCAGACACAATGCTGAGTACATGTTTTAGCCCCTTAATGCCGAGCGCCAAACAGGGTAACAACATGTACCATTAACGTCTTTTGGTATGACGCAGACGGGGATCGAACCTGCGACCTTCCGCTCTCCGGGCAGACGCTCTCCCACTAGATCACGGAGGCGGTCGCATCAGAAGGGGCAACTTCGGAATGGATATTAACTCACCAGAACCGAATTTAAGACGTAAAACAATTAAAACTTAAGGCTCGTTCGGTGACGAAAAACAAGATTATTAAAGTGGCCTGACCGTGCGCCCAACACACAGTCAACTGGACCCTTCCCCTGTGTAAGAACACTGTTTCCGGACACCTTAGCAGCAGGCAGTTTTGGTTTTCTTGGAATGACAATGAATAGCGCTCAGTCGCAACGATCCCCCCGGAAGAAGTGATGCAGTCCTTGACGGACGCTACTGCAGATGTTGCAATGCCCATACGTGGTATCTCAGAAGCTTGTCCCAGTCGAGCAGACAAGACAGACAACAGTGTTGATTAACGACTGCAAACAGTGAATAACCATTCCAATGAGGTTCCATGACTTGAATAACTTTACCTTCATTATCAGAATGCCGCGTTGATCGCATTAGCTGTGACTGGGTCAGTGAGTTGGTGTGTTTGTGGGTGGGTGGGTGGGTAGATGGGTGTGTATGTGGATGGGTGGGTGTGTACGTGCGTGGAATGTGTGGGTGGGTGTGATTTGGGTGGGTTTGTATGTGGGTGGGTGGGTGTGTATGTGGTTGGTGGGTGTGTTTGTGGGTGGGTGGGTAGATGGGTGTGTGTAGGTGTACGGGTGTGTGGGTGGGTGTCTCAATCGCTTGGGGTATTGGATTTGAATCATTTTAACAAATTTAAATGTTTCTTCAACGTACAACATGGTCTTTCGTGTCGATTAGTTTTGTTACAATTTAATTAATAAGATTCCATAAACTGACGGGTTTCTAGGTTCCAAATGGGAGGTAATTGAATCATTGATTGGTATAGAGAGAGAAAGGATACTTTAAAGTGAGGCAGGGTTCCTGTAATTATTCACCAATGTCTGTATAGGTGCCTTGGGCCTCCTTACACAAAGTGTAGTCTCAGCGCTACGATTATTCTGGTTTTCTTAGCGTATAGACGCTGATATGATCTTTGAGCTTAGAATACTTTGTGCATAGACTTAGTGCCTTCTCACACCATCGAAACCCGATGTGTATATCATAGTCCAAGCTAAAGGCAAACCAGTGGTTGATAGCATGAGTAAGGATCCACGCCGTCGGGTACGACATACCACCAGCCATCTCCCCGAGGCAAGGGAGTTAACTGACTATAAAACTAACTAGGCTGGAATTATGGAGTTATTTGTAGGCTGGACTAATGCGTCGATGCATAGTCCAATCAAAACCTCGTAACGAAATCAACCCCTGGTTCGTAAACTCCCGTGTGGATTTCAGTCGATTGTAGGATTTGTAAAGCATGTGTACCGTCAGCTTAGCGCCAACAGATATTTTCCAAAGCATTTCATGTTTTTAATGAATGTCCTCACGTGATTTGATGCACTTCGCGAAGTAAGACCCGTTTTATTACACTATCGATCATATCGTTTTGACTGGGCGCCGCCATTTTGTTTGAAGCAAATGCATGTGATATGCGAGGTGGAATCTGATTGGAATTCCAGTCTGGTTCGGCAAGGTTGGATAATGGGCTTTGACGGTACGTTTACACCCTTGCCTCGGGGAAATGACCACCAGCCAACCTCGACATTTTAAGTGAGTGAGGGTGAGTTGAGATAAACGCCGCTTTAAACATTACTCCAGTTATATCGCGGCGTGTCAGCTTAATGTGGGAGGAAAGCCCGAAGTGATGCTGGTCTCGGACGTTTACCACTTCGGTGAAACCCACGAGCACGGCTATGGTGCTGACAAACCTAGAAACATAATCGGGGCGAACCGGGATTCGAACCCACAATCATAGGTTTTTGGCGTGCCTAAGGGACGCAACTCTGCACAGCGAATCGCGTCGCCTTAGGCGACTGGGCCACCCGTGCCACCCGTGCCACCCGTGCCACCCGACATTGTAAGAGGCGTCTTTTGGGGACGGGTCGTCCGGGCATCGTTATCTTACGGCGTTGATCGTTACTTGTAATTATAATCATATAATCACTGGATTGTCTGGTCCATACTCGATTATATACAGGCCGTCGTAATATAGCTGGAAGCTTTCTGTGTGTGGCTTTATCAACAAACGCAATCAGCCAGATCAAAAACTGTAACCCCGACCCACATTGTATTCGACTGTTATGTACTTAAGTGTTTCTTGCCTACACTATGGTGGCGAGAATGCGATAAATCGATAACACGAGACGAGAAAGCGATAGCACAAGACGAGAAAGCGATAGCACGAGAGGAGCAAGTGATATTGTTGCGCGAGAAACTATTCTGTTCTAACTCGAATTATCGCATTTTTTCGTCTCGTTCCATGGCTTTATCGCTATCTCGATGCCGTACGTGAAGTGGATAAAGTGATGTACCCTCTCGGCCACCATATTACACTGCCCCGGAATCTCAACATGGCCGATCACAGAGAAGCACAGAGGTACTGTCAGTCCGGCATAATGTGACAGCGCTCGAGGAGAATCATGAAGTGGTGACCAGGACCCCTTTTTTCCTGACAATATAGCTACGTTATATGCAAACGTTGCGTCCCTTGGGCACGCCAGAAACCTATGATTGTGGGTACGAATCCCGGTTCACCCCGATTATGTTTCTTGGGTTTGTCAGCACCATACCCGTGCTCGATGGTTTCACCAAAGTGGTAAACGCCTGAGACCTGCATCACTCATGGCTTTACTCCCACATTAAGCTGACACGCCGCGATATAACTGGTGTACTGTTTACATCAACGTTATGCTCACTCACTTTGGCGTGACGAATGAAGGCTTTATCCACTAGGCTACCCTAATGATGTTACAAGTGATTGAATAAATGTTCGCCCACTTCGGAAGTAAAACATTGCACTGAGGGAGGTCCATCACAGTCACTTTGTGGAAGTGTGGATGGAGCAACGGATGATGTACGCCGGTGTTCCATGTGGAAGGTCATTAATCACGCGACCGAGGCTTTTTTTTCCACATAAAGAACATGTCAATTTGTCTGTTGTTTCGCGCCGCACTAAACCATAACAGATCTAAGGCGGCGTTTTTTCGACAAAAACAGTCTGGATCAGATATACAAGTCATGTTTGTTTATTTGTTTGTTTGTTGTTTAACGCCGCACTCAGCAATATTCCAGCTATATGACGGCGATCTGTTAATAATCGAGTATGGACTAGACAATCCAGTGAGTGACATCATGAGCATCGATCCCCGCAATTGGGATACGATGACATGCATCAACCAAGTCAGCGAGCCTGACCACCCCATCCCGTTAGTCGCCTCTTACGACAAGCATAGTCGCCTGTTACGGCAAGCATGGGTTGCTGAAGACATTTTCTAAGTCACCCAGACTTACCACTCGATCCATTAAGTCGAATCTTACGAGGTTGCTGGCAGCCTATGTTCTCACCCTGAATTCCCACGCTTTTAATTTGCCATGTACATGCGTAGATCACACAATCAACACTGACAGGAAATATACTCACTTCCAGTCTCGCTGGCTTTGTTAGCTGTACATGTATTGGGTGATGCATGTGTACGCCGTTCCTTTTCACTTACGAATGTAGGTTATAGTTCATGAGTGAGTGAGTTGGGTTTTACACCGCTTTCTGCAATATTCCAGCAATATCACGGCGGACGACACCAGAAATGGGTTTCACACTTTGTACCCAGGTGGGGAATCGAACCCCGGCCTTCGGTGTGACGAACAAACGCTTTAACCACTAGGCTACCCCAACACTTACCGTGGGGATTCCGGCCTAGGATACATCGTCAGCAAACCTCGTATATGCTTGGTCGATGTGGCGACTAAGTCAATCAGGTCGTCAGGCTCAGTGACTTGGTTGATTGCATGTCTTCGTACACTACGGCATCGAACGTGAATCGTTTTTATTTAACAATCACCGGTTTGTTTGGTTTACATCCCAACATCATGGCGCTGGAAGGTTGCTGAGTGTGGTCAACAACAAATTAAGTCGCTTCTTACGCATCCTCTATAACTCAGGGAAAGCATTTCCGTCAATCTACACTAACTCCGTGATCCATTTGACCGCCTCCGTGGTCTAGTGGTAGAGAGTCCGCCCGGAGAGCGGAAGGTCCGGGGTTCGATCCTCGGCCGCGTCATTCAACGTTAAAAGATGGTACTTGTTGTTACCCTGTCTGGCGCTCAACATTAAGGGGGTAAAACAAGGACTGGTCGGCTCGGAGTCAGTATACTGTGTCTGAGTGGGGTATTCATGTGCGACATGGTATCTCAGTGATTTAGCACTACAAATCGGCATCAGTCCGGACAAGTACAAGCAGTCACAGACACACACACGTGCATGCACGTCGCTATATAAGTGCAATAATCTTGGACGCGCTGTTAAACCCCATTTCACCTCACCTCACCGTGATACGTTCACGTGGTTCTCGCAATGTCAACTTACCCGCTCTTGATTTCCATCTGCAAATTTGATTGGCTACGCAACTTGGTTAACGTACCAATCAGAATGCGAGTTACAAACAAGTCTGAATGTTGGGTTTGAGAGAAATTCAACGATAATCGATTTGTGGAACGGGGCCCAATTCCACCCCTGAGCGCCAAGTGTTCGACACATAGTACAACCAGGCGAGCAACATACAGTAGAGACTTACGTGCGTAGGCAATGTTGTGGTACTCGGGACAGTGGACTATCACAATGTGATCGACGGGGCGACGCATGTTGTTCAAGTACCCTGCAACACAGAACAGTGCATGTAAGAATGGCAGTGATTGCTTCAGGCTGCGGTCAGACATGTTTAGCCTTCATAACTCTTCAGAGGCGGTGGGGTAGTCTTGTGGTTAAAGCGTTCGCTCGTCACGCCGAAGACCCGGGTTCGATTCCCCACATGGGTACTACGTGTGAAGCCCAATTCTGGTGTCCCCGGCCGTGATATTGCTGGAATATTTATAAAAGCGGCGTAAAACCATACTCACTCACTCACTCATTACTCTTCATAATCGGGCAGACCGCCTCCGTGATCTAGTGGTAGAGCGTTCGTCCGGAGAGCGAAAGGTCCTTGACTTGATCCCCCGTCCGCATCATACCCAAAGACGTTAAGACAGTATCTGTTGTTACCCTGCCTTTCGCTCGGCATAAAGGGACTAAAACAAGGACTTGTCGGCTCGGAGTCAGTATACTGTGTGTGAGTGGGGTATTCATGTTAACACTGTGGCATGGTATCTCAGTGGGCTAGCACTATAATCCCTACACCAATAATCTTGGACGCGACGTTAAACCTCATTTTACCTCACCACATATCGATGGCTGCCAGAGAAGCAATAAGCAAGGTCACATATAAATTCATTCTCCGGAAAGTATGACATATTTGTGCTCTGACATTATTCGGGTTGGATATGCCTCGCTATGATATGGCTGGAACGTTGCGAAAAGCGACATTTTATTCAACTATCGTCACTCACTCCAAGATTATTTGAGATAGAGGCATTTTACTAACGCTTCCTTTAATGGCAAAGCCGGCGGAGATTTTATCATGTGTGTTCTTGTGGAGAGCGGAAGGTCGGGGGTTTGATCACCGGGCGCGCCATACCAAGAGACGTTGAAGGATAGTACTTCTTGATACCCTGTCTGGCGTTAAACCCCATTTCACCCCATCTCACCATACACGGATTCTTATATCTGCTTCTGTATATAAATATAACAACAGTCTCATGTCTTTGCTCACCAAATTGATGTGATTGTACTAATGTGATCAGAAACAAGTGTGTCTGCTGTTTTAATGCTTCTGGCAATCATGTTGGTGACTGGGTTTACCAGTAGAGGCAATGACAATCAACACCTTCTTCTTATTTTAAAATGTAGACGGTATTTCTACAAGTCCTATCTTCTTTGATTTTTTTCATTTCGGCACTAATTGCCACTACCCCTGCAGGTGCACGTTCGATGTTTAGTCGTACCTTGAGAAGTTTAAATGTATTTTGCGAAGTTGAAAAGTATCTTCCGATTTAAAGGTATCTTGAAAAGTTTAAAGATATCCTGCGTAGTTTAAAGGTATCTTGAGAAGTTTGAAGATATCTTAAGAAGTTTAAAGGTATCTTGCGACGTTTAAAAGTATCTTGAGAAATGTAAAGGTATCTTGCGAAGTTTGAAGGTATCCGCACGAAAGACGGTCCACTGTATAAGGAACATCAAATACGTAAGTTAAATCAAATAATATATGTCTGAGTGTGTGAGTAACTTAAAACGCAAACGGCAGTGCTTCATATTATGAACAGAAGATATTGTGATTCAATATTCCTATAGGTCTTTTAAATATCATATTTAACATATTTATCAACAGAAAAACCTACAGGTTTATCCTAACTAACGGTATTCTTAAACTGTGCATCCTCGAGTATCCAGGGTAATATATAACATTCTATTACAATAAATACCCTGGACCCATGTACACAGTAGTGCGACCAGACAATGCCCAGGCTTCAATTTCTATTTCGGGGGTCACGGGTGGCCCAGTCGCCTAAGGCGACGCGATTCGCTGTGCAGGGTTGCGTCCCTTGGGCACGCCAGAAACCTATGGTTGTTGGTTCGAATCCTGGTTCGCCCCGATTATGTTTCTAGGTTTGTCAGCACCATACCCGTGCTCGCTGGTTTCACCGAAGTGGTAAACGTCTGAGACCTGCATCACTTCGGGCTTTCCTCCCACATTAAGCTGACACGCCGCGATATAACTAGAATACTGTTAAAAGCGGCGTTAAACCAAACTCACTCACTCACCCGATTTCCATTTCAAATCACTTTCACGAAACAGCTTAAGTCACAAACTACCTTGGTTTGTTCAGCATAGATGTAAAATGACTTATTTGACATTATTTTAATAAGGGGCTATGAATTCCTCTTTGAACTTATCTTGTCCCCGTTGACAAACCGTGGCTTTCTTATCAACAAGTGGATGTTTCAGACAGCTCAGCGGACAGACTCTATAAGTCAAGTTCACAGACAGATAAAGGACCGTCTCTGCTTATGTTGGTTATCTTATGTAAGTTTCTCCCAATCACATGCAAGTAGCACGTGCAACATTAATGTACAGAAGGCAGAATATTCATTGTTTGATTACTTCTTGTTTAACGCTGCACTCAGAATTATTCCTGCTATTTGAATGCGGCATGCAAATAATCGATTCTGGACCAGATAATCCAGTGATTTAAAGGGGCACGGATTATCTAGCTGTGTTAAGCCCCGTGCGTCGCTTTGCTTAGATATGTAAGTTGCTTAGGCGTGTCACAAACCTGGTAAAAATAGTTCGTATCCCAGATTTATATGATTGACTATATTTTAGTATATATGGGTATATTTGAAAATATTTGAGATTGTCTGAGTATATTTGAAATTATCTAGGTATGTTTAACTATATGTCAGTATGTTTCAGTGTATGTGAGTACATCTGAGTATTTTGAGTATATTTTAGTATATTATAGGATATATGAGCATGTTTCAGTAAAGAGGGATATATTTGAGCATATATGTGTATGTTTGATTGTATTTGAGTATGTTTGAGTATGCGTATGCTTCAGTTATATGAGTATGTCTGAGTATGTTTGAGTATATATGTGTATGCTTGAGTTAATTATATGAGTATGTTTTAGTGTATATGTGTATACTTGTGTTATATGAGTATGTTTGAGTTTATATGTGTATGCTTGAGTTATGTGAATATGTTTCAGTATGTTTAAGTATATCTGAGTATGTTTGAATATATCTGAGTATGTTTGATTATGGTTGAATTCCTCAATCTGTGAGTATTGCTGAGTATACATGAGTATATTTGAGTAGGTATTAGTATATTTGGGTATATCAGAGTATGAGTATGTTTGAGTATAAATGTGTATGTATGAGTGTAGTTAAGGTTGTTAACGTATTTCTGAGTATGTTTGAGTATATTTGAGTATGCACGAATTGAAGTTTGTTCGAGTTTATATGAGTATATTTGAGTATATATGAGTATATTTGAGTATAATTAAGTATGTTTTAGTATTTTTTAGTATGTTGTAGTGTCTTATGATATGTGTAAGTATGTTTGGGTATATATATGAGTATATAAGAGTATGTTTGAGTATATTTGAGTATATCTGAGAATGTTTGAGTATATTTGAGTGTATCTGAGTATATCTGAGGATTTCTTCGCATATTTCAGTATATATAAGTATATTTGGGTTCATATAGGTATGTTTGAGTATGTATGAATATATTTGATTATATCTGAGTATCTTTGAGTATATTTCAGTATATATAAGTATGCTTGATTATTTCGAGTACACATGAGTATGTTTGGGTATATTTGAATATGTTTGGGTACATTTGAGTATATGTATGTGAATTTGCTTGAGTATATATGAGTATGTTTGAGTATATGTGAGTATGTTTGGGTATAATTGAGTACGTTTGAGTAAATTTGAGTTAATGTATCTGAAAATGTTTGAGTATATATGAGAATGTTTGAGTCTTTTGATGACGCCGAGAATCCGGGTCAGGTGCCTTGAATGTTTGACACGGAGACTTTTCGGACATTGCTTTAGGCATGCAAATTTCTTTCTCAGAAAGGAGGATAATTTTTGTTCACAGTTTCTTGTTTCGGGACATCAAACATGTTCAGTCATGTTTATCAAACCTGAAGCAAACCTAAACAAAGGATGTTTTCGAAACAATAGAAATCAGATTACCATATTCTAGTCAGTGTTGACATATCGCGAGTCAGGCGGTGTAATACTATCATGTAATGTTCGCATAACAATGTCATGTGTGACGTAAGGTTAATAGGTCGGGGGAATCACTTGCCACAATTGTATTTAATCGGTTTAAGCACAGTGTGAAAACTGATGAATAGGCACGTCACTACCGAACTTTATCTCACGTGATTCTTTGTCTGTGACTATCGTGGATAAAAAGCAAATGCTGATATATATTTTTTTTAAATGAGATAGATTAATTTTGTAAAATCAAACCTTTGAATAAATAACTCTCAAAGTGCTCTAAGAAAGAAATATTTATGTTGGTATGTTTCTGTATATGTTTTATATTTGAGTATGCTTGAGTGTATGTGAATATTTGTTAGTATATATGAGTAAATTTGAGTATGTTTGATCATGAGTATATTTAAATATATTTGAGTATGTTTGAATCTTTTCATGATCACACAGAGGACATTTAATATTCTGAGCGAGTGGGTGAGTGAGTTGGGTTTATCCCCGATTTGAACAGTACTCCAGTTATATCACGGCGTGTCAGCTTTACGTGGGAGGAAAACCCGAAGTGATGTTTAATATTCAGAAGATGCATGGGAAGGTTGTTAATGAATGAATGATATTTATGTTTTTCGGACACTGCTTCAAGACATGCAATTTTCTTCTTTGAAAGATGGGGCGAACAGTTGAACATCCCAGGTCCACTAGAATATTACATGATAGGTCCCTAAAATAGTGTTAAATATACGAACCTGAAAAGTATGTAAAAGTATATAACTGTATATATGAATACAGGTGGATTTGAATTTTTTTTATTTTTGTTGACTTTGATTACAACTTCAAACTAGTACAGTTAAGATATTCAAAAAATGATAGGACGTGCCTGTAAAAAGATCAGACTGTTGCAGATAAACAGAAGTGCACAGTTATGTATAGCTAGTACACACAGAAACTATGACAAAATAGGCCTCTGGAACAACACGCTTGTACCTATGCTGAGGCAGTAATGAATAGCTGGTCTTTCTGAAAGTGATGGTCACAGCAAGCACTAGTTAACTCGAAGTGTTTGGGACCATCAGACACATGTCGAGTTACCCGATACTCGAGAGAAGCAATGTGATGACAAAATACCACAATGTTGACAAGCTGTCTACTTTGTTTATGAATAGCTATTAAATTACATCATCTCAAACGATGTGTCGAATTAATGTAGTTTGAGTTGACGTAATGTGAAATAGGGGAACGCCGCTTTTATAACGACGTACACTCACCCGAATGTCTAGCGGCTATGCACTGATCAGTACATGCTACAGTTAAACATGAATACTCCACTCAGACACAGTTTACTGACTCCGAGCCAACCAGTCCTTGTTTAGCCTCTAATGCCGAGCGCCAGACAGGGTAACAACAACTGCCGTCTTTTAACGTCTGTTTTTATGACGTTACCATGGGGTCGAAACACCGACCTTCCGCTCTGGGAGCATGGGATTCCGACATGGGATTTAAACTGCCCAGATGTCTCAACTGCCATAACATCCTTCATATGTGAAGGTGACAAATCCTAAATATGCAAAACATGCTTAAAAAAATGTACTGAAAACATATAGTCCACAGTGGTTTGGTTCGTTTGTTGTTCAACACCACACTCAGCAATATTCCAGCTATATGACGGCGGTCTGTAAATAATCGAGTCTGAACCAAACAATCCAGTGATTGACATCATGAGCATCGATCCGCGCAATTGGGATCGATGACATGCATCAACCAAGTTAGCGAGCCTGACCACCCGATCCGTTAGTCGCCTCTTATGAAAGCATAGTTGCCTTTTACAGCAAGCATGGGTTGCTGAAGTTATATTCTACCCTTGATCTTCACGGGTGAAGAAGTTATTACTGTAGTAGTACGATCTTGCAAGGTCAATGACACGTGTACAGCAGGTGTCTTTATCGGTTTGATAAGCCCCGCCAGGGCAGCTGGCGACAGCTGTATGGTGTAACCTGTCTTCCCATGATACTTTACTTTACACTATAACATTGCAAATAGTAACAATGGAACTTACATTGAAATGCATATTCTGAATACTCGCTGCCGTCCATGGCAAGAACAATTATTCGATCCTCTTCAGACATCGTTGTTCCAAATGATGGCCACGTTACAGGTGTTGTATTTGGTGGTATCGCTTGTCCCTTCTGCCTGGAAAGCGTTGACATATCAGTCACGTGACTTTATAGTGCATAACGCTGCTAGGAGCTTCGATAACGCAACGCTCCGTTGAAATTGGTGGAACATTATTCGAGGTGTGCGTCAACGACCTGCCGAGCGTTGGGAAATGAATGACATGTTGTCATTTTCTTTGACGATGGACTGTGCTGAACGGTCCTGTGACCATTTTCGTTACATAGAGATTACTAACGAGTTTCTGTAAGGTACATATTATCGTATCTGAAGAGCGAAAGCAGGTCAGATAAAATTATAAACAAGTGCAGTTATATGTTTCTTCCACACCCTAAAATCGCAGCATTTGCCATGCATATTTTGTTTGTTCTCATGATCGCAGTAGCGCATTAATACACAATTCAACGGCCAGAAGTGATGCAATCCGACTTTCTGCTCACTATTCATACGTATCAATACACTAAACACACTCAGCAGTATTCCAGCTACATGGCAGCGGTCTGTAATTAATCAAGTCTGGACCAGACAATCCACTGATTGATATCATGAGCATCGATCCACACAATTGAGATACAATAACATGAATCAACCAAGTCATCTAGCCTAACCACTCGATCGCGTTAGTCGCGTCTTACGACAAGCATAGTCGCCTTTTAAAGCAAGAATCGGTTGCTGAAGACCTATTCTACCCCGGATCTTCACGGTTGAAATAATATCACAGAACATTTATTAACGCTCTGAAACCATAAGGCTGGACACAGATGTTGGTGGATCGACTGAAGCACGAGTATCTTATCAATGAGTTACAATCAACTAATTAAATTAGTCCGTCATAATCTGACCTTTGGTCATCACCATGGAGCAGCCAATCACGGACCTTGAATTCGACCTCACGTGTATGTTTGATATTAGTTTTCTCAAATGGGTTTCTTGTCACTGGTTTGTAAGAAACATGAATGCCTACATGTTGTACTCACTGCCTTGAATATTTTCTTGGTGTAGATAGATTGCCATAACATTTTAGTTGGTAGACAAAGTGGTGTTTTACACTTAAATCAATCTTGTTTGATCATCGAACCTATTAGCTTTTTTTCGACACAGGACAAAATATGAATGTCTGTAAATTGTCGCAAGCTTCTCCGAGAGGTAAAGTACGTATCTACTATCCATATATATATATATATATATATATATATATATATATATATATATATATATATATATATATATATATATATATAAAAAGAAACTTGACATAGATGTAAAACCACTTTTTGCAAAATATCTAAAATAATTACATTAAATGAGAACCAAATAAGTCAAACAGAAAGATGATGTGTCTATAATTCGAGAAAACACATGCAAAGCACATAAACGTAGCGTTTAGGGATCAATTTTACAGCTTCATCCAAACGCAACCGCCTGTAAAAAAACGTGCAGCACAGGATCCTGCATTTAGGCATGCAGGCCCCCCTGCTCAACGGCTGTTCATACAGTCCTTATAACGGCAGTAGAGGCGGTGACAGAATGCCAAGACTGAATGCAGCTCAACGGAACAACGCCATTGGGAGATTACAAGCTGGAGCAACTCAGCAAGAAGTGGCCAGGCACTTTGGCGTATCCAGACAGACAATCTCCGCACTGTGGACCCGATACAACAACACCAACAGAGTTGACGACAGACCAAGGTCAGGAAGACCAAGGGTGTCAACCCAAGCACAAGAACGATACATCCGGCTGCGACACCTCCGAGACCGCACTACCACAGCCCCGTCTACAACCACACAGATCCCTGGGGTACGCAGAATACCAGATCAAACGGTACGCAACAGACTGAGGGAGGCTGGACTTTTTGCACGAAGACCTGTTCGACGTCATCTGCCAGACCGTCTGCTTTGGTGCCAACAGAGTGTTAGATGAGCACGTGCAAGGTGGAGAAATGTACTGTTGACTGACGAGTCCCGTTTCCTACTCACACGTGCTGATGGGCGCGCACGTGTCTACAGACGTCGGGGTGAATGTTACGCCCCCAACTGTGTGCAGCAGGATGTCCCATTTGGCGGCGGGAGTGTCATGGTATGGGTCGGAATTCATCACGGTGGTAGGACGCCTCTCGTGCATGTGGCAGGTGCATTGACAGGTGTGTGTTACAGAGACTTGATCCTACAGCCTTACGTTCTTCCTCACGTCAACGTTCATGGCGGACAGTTCCAGCAGGACAACGCTCGACCGCATATTGCACGTGTTTGTCAGGACTTCTTACAGCACAACAACATCCAGACATTACCTTGGCAAGCTCGGTCACCAGATTTGGTCCCGATTGAGCATCTGTAGGACGAGTTCGATCGACGCGTTCGCAGAAGGAATCCACCGCCTCAAACACTTCCGGCGCTTCTTGATGCACTTCAGCATGAATGGCAGCACATCCAACAGCGTGTTATTGACAACTTGATTGCATCTATGGGTCGTCGGTGTCAAGCGGTGATTGATGCACGTCGTGGGCACAACCGATACTGACATTTTCTGTACCCCTGGGACATTAACTGTATCGTGTACGTGTGTCTGTCTAGGTGACACGATTAATGTTTTGAACATTGTGTACATTGATCTTCAAACAGTGTTTCAATTATGGTTTCTGTGTCCTATTCTGAAACAATCTCATTAGATTACATTTTGAAAGTCAGTGTAAAGGTTCTTCTTTTGAAGAGTATATATATATATATATATATATATATATATATATATATATATATATATATATATATATACAGCTGAGCCTTGTTAACTCTAACTTGATAGACTGTGTGTGTGTGTGCGTGCGTGCGTGTGTGTGTGGCTGCTACTACTAGTCCGGATGAATGCCGATATTATTGTGCTCGCCAACTGACACACATGTAGCATGCCGCAGTTTAACATGAATACTCCACACACTATACTGACTCCGGGCCAGGTTCATAATGGTTAGAATAGGAACAGTGCCTGACTCAGGGGCAGCAAATAACGCCGCGCAGATTATCTGGTCCTCAGTGCCCCTGTTTGTCAAAATAAGTTTAGGTGATCTGTACCCCTTGCGCTAGGGGCGGTCAGGTAGCCTGGTGGTTAAAGCGTTCGCTCATCACGCCGAAGACCCGGGTTCGATTCCCGACATGGGTGTAATGTGTGAAGCCCATTTCTGGTGTCCCCCACCGTGATATTGCTGGAATATTGCTAAAAGCGGCGAAAAACCATACTCACTGATCACTCAATTTGATTGCGCTAACAAAAAGGCCTTTCTGAGGCTTAGTCACATATGAGTACATGGTAGAATTACCAATACGGCATGAATCTCAAGTGGAGATGTGCCTTATCTTTAGTTAACAACGAACTTCTATAAACCTAAATAGACCCATTGCCCTGATCTGACACATAATAGAATACCATCCTAAACGACGAAGTCCACTCGACAACCACTTACTTCACAAGGAGTGCTCAGGGTTCAGTAAATTTGCTATAATGTCACTTGATTGTCTTGTCCATCACTTGATTGTCTGGTCAAGACTCGCTTCTCTACAGACCGGCATCGTATGGCAGGAGTTCTATGAGTCATAATAGTTCGTATTCACTGGACACTCACAGTGTATATACATAGCAACAATATGGACAAAATCGGACCACTGGTTCTTGACTCAAGTTGGTTAGAGCTCTATTTTAGCCGCCTAAATCACTGTTTGAAAACCCATATCTCTAATGCAGATGTGATTTGCAGCTAAACCCGTGAAGATCCGGGGTAGAGTAGGTCTTCAGCAACCCATGCTTGCCGTAAAAGGGGACTATGTTTGTCGTAAAAGGCGATTAACGGGATCGGGTGGTCAGGCTCGCTGACTTGGTTGATGCATGTCATTGATCCCAATTGCGTGGATCGATGCTCATGATATTTATCACTGGATTGTCTGGTCCAGATTCTATTATTTACAGACCGTCGCCATATAGCTGGAATACTGCTGAGTGCGGCGTTAAACAACAAACCTACCAACCAACGAAATTTCGCAGCTACTTTGTTCATTGCTGTAGCGTCGCTGGAACGGCAGTGAATGCGTGTATGTTCGCTATGTTCAGTATCTTTACGCGGCGTCTGAAGAGAAACTGACATATCGCCGCCGAATAAATTTAATTGTTTCCCCTTAACCTTGACGTATGTGTATGGAACCAGCGATCATATTCTACAGTCACTGTTAAACGGTGTACAAAGTCAGTTCAATGTTTTTTTGAGTCCGGTAGTTCTCTCTTTCAATGGATGTAGTTTCGTTATCCTTGCCTCTATGGTTGATGTTTTAGCTTTGCCCGTATCCGAGGTATCCCACGTCAAAGTTTGTCAAGTTTAGATCAGTTTCATCGGTTAGTTTCAGAGCTTTTGGAAGATGAGTACCCTAAAAGGGTTTTGGGAACATTAAATTCAATATGGCTGCCGACCGAACCGCCAACACACCCATTCGTCACCACTCGCCCCTTACCGTAAACCTGCAAGAAGACTCGTCCCCCTATCGATGAATGTTATGTGCGAAAATACGACAAACCAATCAGAATGCGCGTATGATTTCAAGTTCTTCGTCAACGAATCCCTCAGAACTAATTTTTGATTTTACATATGTCTTGCATCTAAAACAATACCCAAGACACAGTTAAATGTGTTCAATCATACTGTATAATTCCGCACGTCCCGATGTGCTTTAAACTGCATCTGATTTTTTTATATAATATATGGGGATATATATGTGAACCATTACGCAAAGAGCTGACAATTGTTTTGGGTATGCCCGTTTGCGCTTAGACGGAACCCGGTCGCAAACATGGCCACGAGAGGGGCACGAGTCGCTATTCGGCTTGTCACGGAATAACACGAGTTGGTCACGAATGCCCACACACCCACACACCCACTCACTCATATATTCATCCGCACTGAAGTTTGATAATCAATGAACATGTTGTAGTGTTGCGGTACTTTGAAGCATACATAAAATATCAAAGATCCAGTAGGCGAGTTGTAAATTGTGCAGTTGTTGGGAAAAGAACATCGTTGAAAGCTAACCGTAAAGACGAGTATATAGACATGTAGAAAGATAGTTGTGTTTTTCTCCAGC